TGTGTGTGTGTGTGTGTATGGCCCTCACACCATTGCTGAAGTTTTCCAGGCTCTATACCAAAAATATTCACATTGCCAGAGGGGCTTCCAGGGCTGCCAAACTAGGAATCAGGAGAAAAGGCCAAAGTCCAGGCATCCATAGGTCATGCATTCATAGACATCTATTTGCAATTTTCTACAACAAGAGATGAATATGAGAGTAAAGCCTCCCAGGCACCACAGTAAGTCAAGTCTCTCCTTATGCCATCTCCAGACTGGTTGTTTATGGAATGTGAGTGTTAAATTATGGATTTGCAGGTCAGTGAATCGAACGAAAAACAAATTACACTGAGTGAGGTGACTCAGACCCAGAAAAAGAAACTCTGAATATTTTCTCTTGTGCCTTCAAATCCTCACATGTCTGCATTTAACCAAGGGCCTCTGTGGAAATCATATTACTAGAGACTGACCATTAGAGGGAAATGAGACATCTTAAAGGAGTGGGGATAGTAGAACATAGAAGGTATAAAGGAGACTAATGGACCAGTGCTAAGTGGGGTGGAGAATATTAGGGTAAGCAAAGGAGGGGTGGAGGCAGAGATCAGAACACTAGGCATATTTGGAAAGCCACATAGAAGCCTACTGTTTTATAAGCTATCTATATATATATATATATATATATATATATATATATATAGAGAGAGAGAGAGAGAGAGAGAGAAACAGTTGTTGGCTGCTGGGAGGGAAAGTCAATTTTCTTCAGCATTGTAGGACCTGGTGGTATGACCATGACTCGTTGGATGGCCTCACACTCATGTGCATATGGCTGGCTGACTGAACTCAGTGCATTATTTAAAAAAAAAAAAATGAGAGCATGGAGTTGGGAGGGGAGTGTGGAAAGATGGGGTCCAGGACGACTTGGAAAAGAAACTGGGGAGTAAATCTGATAGAACCGGTAGGTTCAAAACAGTCCTCCAAAATGGCAGTGCTGGTGACAATGTTCTAAACAAAAGGACTTTGGATAGGTAAACAAAAGGATTATTATTGGGTACTGATTCTGAATTGATGCTAATTCCAACTGATGCTAATTCCAGAAGCCCCCAAGACAAACTAGAGCCCTCAGTTAAAGCAGGGACTTATGGAGGCCATGTGATTCATGGAGTTTCAGCATAAGTCATCTAACAGTAAGTACAATATGTCCCCAAACTTACCCTATGTCATTTCATTAGTTCCAGGATGTACAATTGGGATAGATATGCTCAGAAGCTTGCAGAATTGACTCCCTAACCTGTAGAATGGGCTATTATTGTTGAAAAAGCCAAATGGTAGGTATTGGAGTTGCCACTACCAGGGAATATAGTAAACAACAGAAAAAAAGGATGCTTAGAAGTGCTTAGTCCTTGAAGAAACCATTGTAGAAAACAGTGATTGACCACCAGAGAAGCTAGGAAACAAAGAAGACTCTCAGAGAGACATACATGATCCCCCGGAGATGGGGAAAGGAACAAGATCTCCTGAGCAAATTGGGAGCATGGGGGAAGGCAGTGGGAGTTAGGAGAAAGAGAAAGGGAGAAGAGGAGGGTGAAGGAGGCATGAGGGAGCAGGAAGACTGAGTCAGGGGAAGAATAGAGGAGAGCTAGAAAAGAGATACAATAGTAGAGGGAACCAGTATAGGTTTACAGAGAAATCAGGCACTAGGAAAATATCTGAAGATCTACAAAGATGACACCAGCTAACAATCTAAGCAACAGAGGAGAGGCTACCTTAAATGCCCTCCCCTGATAATGAGATTGATGACTGACTTATATGCCATCCTATAGTCTTCAGCAGCTGGTGGAAGTAGAGGCAAACCCCCACAGCTAAACACTGAACTGAACTGGAATCCAGATGCAGAGGAGGAGGAGTAATGAGCAAAGGGGTCCAGACCAGGCTGGTGAAACCCACAGAAACAGCTGACCTGAACTGAGGGAACTCTTAGTCCCCAGACTGATATCCTATCCCAAAGGATATGATAGACTCTGAAGACTCCCCCCCC